GAGAATGTGCAAGAGGGATGGAGATAGCAGGGGCTGGGATGGGATCGTCCCAGGAGCTGGTTGTGTGTGGACTTGGTCTGTATGTGCACGACAACACCCACCAACCTCCTCCAAAAATCTCCCCAGTCTGCTCCAGATCTCACAGCAGGTGAAAGCTGGTGCAAACCAGAGCAGCTGGGGCACTGCAGGGCCAGAGAGTGTCAGAAGTGCAGCCCAGCTCTGGTTCTGATCAGCCTCTGCCCCTCCCTTGCAGCCTCCAAGGCAGCTGCTGGTCATGATTTCCAAAGGCTGTGTGTTCTAGGGTCTGTCCTGGCAGGCCAGCTGCAATTGAGGTGCAATTAAGATGAACAGGGCAAGATTCTCTTTACTCTCATTGTTTTGAGGTGCATTGCCAAAACCTCACCTATGGCCCACACATTCCTGTAATTTTGCAGTGTTCAGTACAACCTTCATTCCTACATAGATGCTTTATCATGGCAATCCCTAAACAAAAACCCTCAGAACCTCAAAGCTGGAAAATTCAGGGCCAACAAACAAAACCTCTCCAATTTTCCCAGTCTCCAGTGACCTCACTCTCTCCACGCCTGTGTGTGACCTTGCTTGCCAACTCTATACAATAATTCCTCATGCCATGTCTCTTCCAGGTACTTTCTCATTCCTGATACTCATTTTGGAGGCTCTCTTTGTGGAGGGTCAGCCACCAACATGCCTGTGCTGCCCAGGGCAAGGTGGGAACCACTGCAGGAGGGTGCTCATGGCAGCAGGAGCTTTGTGTGTGTGTTCTTGGAGGGCTGGAGAGGCAGCACTGCCAGCCAAAGGACAGCCAGCTCAGGATGGATCCAGCACTGTCCCCAGAGAGGGACATCCAGGCAGTACCATGGTGGGAAGAGCTGTGAGATGAGGGGATCCCGTGCCAACCCCATCCTAAACCCCACAGGAGCACCTTACCTTCGGGAGGGACATCCAGGCAGTACCATATTGAGAAGAGCTGTGAGATGAGAGAGATCCCGTGCCAACCCCATCCTAAACCCCACAGGAGCACCTTACCTTCGGGATGCCAGCAGCAGCATTGCTGCTGCCCCATCTCCTGCTCACTTCGAGGGGGCTGTGCTGGGCTGTGGCTGCTTTCTCTGTCACCCTGCTGGGACAGGGCTGGGGGGCTCAGGGATTTGCTTTGGAGGGGGCTTTGCACGGGCAGGCTGAGCGGGAGGGATGTGACCGGTCTGGCAGCACTGGCCTGTCACCTCCTGCAAGCAGACATTCCCACTCCATGGAAATATGCCTGAAATAGCCCCTCTGCAGATTGTCTTTATCTAATCAGCCGCCTTTGCACCCCCCTCCAGTGCATTTCAGGAGCTGATAGTGGGGATATGTTAAGTGTGGAAACCTCTAGCGAGCTGCCCGACACCGAGAGTAATTCTCCTTCCTGCCACTTATCAGAGCCTGCTAATGGGAAACATTCCTCCTGGGGGTCAGGGAGCAGCCAGAGGATTTCTCTGGAGAGGGTGGCTGAGCCCCTGGCACCCTCCTGGCTCTCCAGGGCTGGGTAGGAGCTGGTCTGACCACAAAACATTCACTGAAGGGGCAGCTCTGCTCTCTGGTGCTGGTGGTGTCCTGTCCCATGGGAGAGGCTTGTCCAGCCCTCGGGGGCTTGCCTGAGGAGCCCCCTCCTTTTCCATCATATCACGGGGCACCAACACCAAGCACAGAGCCAGGGGGAAGAGCAGAGGTGTCTCAGTGGTCAGGGGAGATGATCTCACTGCTGGGGGTGGGCGTGCAGGCTGGGGAATCATTTGAGCACACTGTTCACTCTGGGCAAGAGCCACCTAGAGAAAACTCCCCTCTGCCCAGGCTGAAGCCATGAGCTCCTCGGTGTGCCATGGGATTTTGTGGAAGGTCCATAGGATCCTACTGCCCTGTCCCACCTGCCTGAGCATGGCACAGCTCAGGCCTTGCCAGCCATAAAAGGATGAGCTTCCCACCATCCAGAAAAACCACATCACAAACACCAGCGCCAAACCCACCCAGACCTGGCAGAAGAACCCTTCAGCAGCTGCTGGAGTGACCAATTCACATTTCTCCTGCTGCAGCTCTGCTTGGCCTTTGATGGACCCTGCTGGAACCTCTTCAAAGAGGGAGAGGAACCAGGGCGAACAGAAGGAACTGCAGGAGGAATCTCCGAAAATAAAATCGCTTTAAAGATAAGGCAGGGGAGGGGGTGAGCAGAGTGTGGGGCGAGTACATGCCCTGAGAAGAATGTGTGAGGCTGGGCCAGCTGGTGGGTCTGGGCCAAGGGCTCATCCCACTGCCGGGGCGCTTGTGGCAAAGGTACTTGGCACAGGACCCACCAAAGCCTCGGGTCCCTCCAGGGCGTGGGTGGAAACCTGACTCTGAGCCCAGGGCAAAGGCAGAAGACCACCAGGGTAACCTCAGAGGGCTCTGTGGTCCCCCAGAGCCTGTGGCTCTTCAGGACACTGGAACTCTGCCATCTTGGTAAGATGAGCATGCCATGGTCAAGAGGGACCTCAGGACTGGTGTCCCCATGGTCTCCCCTGGAGGGTGGCAGCAGATGTGTTGGTGGAGTCCAGCTCTGCACCAGCTGCTCACAAATCCAGAGGAGGACCTGCACTCCTGACCACCAACTTGCTGAGGAGTGCCCACGTGGGACATGGGGATGGGGCCCTGCACCCTTTTATCCTGCTGTACCCAAAGTCCTTGTCTGTGCTCCAGATTCCCCTCCATTTTCAGTTCTTGGGGCAGTCTGGCACCGTGCAAAGCTCTGACATTGCTGCCAGTGAAGGCAACATCAAGCATCCCTGAGCCCAGCCATCCTCCTGCTGGGGCTCAGCCCACAGGGGATGGCTCTGCAGTCCTCCTCTGTCTTTGCAGGTTTCCTCAAACTGTTGTTTCATGTCCTTACTTGCTATACTATTGTAAGTTTTTCTACCCTCAGACCTTACAGCTGCAGCTGATTCTCTGTTCTTTCTGTTTCTAAAGCCTGCTTTTCCAGCTTTCTGAAAATCTTACCTTTACTATTTCCCACACCCCATGAATCTCGCAGATCCAAAGCAGGGTGGGAGGGCAGGGACCTTTCTGTGGGGCAGTGCAGAGATGATGGCACTGGGAACCCAGACTGGGGTGTGTAGCAGCAGACCTGTGTGCTGGATGGAAAGACTGACTATGGCTGGGGCTCGGATTCAGGGCACGTGCTGGGGCTGCAAAAATCTCTCTGCAGCCTCGGCTGTGTGCCCAGGCTGAAGCCACATGCCCAAAGCAGCTTCTGGTGCTGCTATTCTGGCTGTGACAGAGTCTGTGCCACATCCAGCCTGGGCACAGCACTGCACAGCTGATCCTTAACCACTCCCTGCCTCAGTTTCCCCCACTGTCAGAGGCTACAGCAGCCCTAATTTACTCTGGGGTGTGAGAGGTGCTGAATGGGGAATATCAAACCCTGCAGCCACAGGTCCTGGTTCCCCAGGGTAGAAACATCATTGCACTTTTTGGATGCGAGCAGCTAAGTGGCTTTTCCTTGAGCTGGCATGGCCTCAGGGTGTCCTGTTCCCATCTTGGGCAGCCCATGGTGCTGCCAGGATGGAGCTGTGCTCCAGGCTGCCATCACCACGTTGTACACAGCACCTTTGGGTGCTGTCTGGGTAAAATGGTGTGCAGGAAACCCAGCGACCTCTCTGTTGAGAGATTATGAACTTGGCCTAGCCACAAAACAAGCTCCTATGCCAAGGTGAGGAGTTCAGGGAGCAGAACCTGGAGGATCAAGCCCCAAGGTCCTTCCTCTTCCAGACAGTCTGTCTGGGAGAAGCTAAACCAGAGCTGAGTGAGAAGTTGGGATGTTCCAGCTGGAAAAGCCAGCAGCCACACACATCCCACCAAGGAGCAACTCTCCTGGCATGGTGGGAGGCAGGAGCAAGTGCTCAGGTGCAGGAGGAACTGGCAGAGCTCTCATTGCTCAGCTCCCCACTAGAGCAGGCAGAGCAGGCTGGGAGAGCTGTGCTGCCTTCCCAAGCTGCACTCTCTCACTCTGCCTTTGTACTCGCCTGACAATACAGGAATAAAAATAACCAGGCTGCATTTGCAGAGAGATAAAAGTGAAGTTTGCCTTTTGTGTCTGTCCGGGCAGTGGGACAGCAGCACCAATGGAGCTGTGTGGACATGACACATGGGAATTTCTGACATATCTTTTCCCACTCTGACCTTGACAGACACAATAAAAAGGGGCTTTGCAGCGTGCACAGAGCCACTCAGTCCTAGCACCAAGGTCAGTAATACAGAGCATGGCTGTGTGCACGCGTGTCCCCTGTACTAACCCGCTTCACCCCTGCAGGGTGGCTGATCCCAGGGGACAGGGGCTGGCTCTGCTGGCACAGGGGAGGGTGGGACAGACCTGGATCATGAGCATTTTTGCTGAGGACCGTGTGTTTTGCCAAGTTTGTGGCTCCATCCTTGATGGCTGCGGCGTTCCGGAGCTCTGCAGGGTGGCACTGCATTAGATGGATATTAAGAAGCTCAGTCATAAAAGTGCTTTTCCAAGCAGCTGCCACACCAGCCTTCTAGAAGGGTCTTCCCAGGGATAACACATCCAGCCTTGCTTTTATCTTGCTGCAGTATCGCTCAGCAGGACAGCCCTGGGTCTTTGTGCAGGGCACCAGGGCTCCAGTGGGTCTGTAGAGCTGGGATGGGTTTTAGCTGAGCTTATCAAGGAAAGGGTGTTATTGACAATCTCACCTAAAGTGGGAATGTGAGTTTTGACACCAAAGTCATTCTGGCTCACCCAGCTGGGACTTACAGTGGGGGGATGACAGCATCAGAAGGGAAAGTGTTCAGTAATTGTCTCATTAATATAATTTTTATCAGCTAGCATTGTCGCTGTCTTCTCTCACTCCCTAAAATCAAAAGCTTGTTTGGTGACCGTGTCACTAGTGGTTCTCAACCCAGTGGCAGGCGCTTTCCCCATGCACTGACCCCTTCTCCTTCCCTCCTTTCAGGACTCAGGTGTCTTTCACTCTTCCTTTGCTGCTGCCAAGTCTCTCTCAGATAGACAAGATGTCTCTGCTGGACATGAGCGAGTTTGGGGAGGCTGCCCCGTACCTGCGGAAAAGCTACACGGAGCAGCTGAAGCTTCAGACCATCCCATTCGATGGTAAGAGCCCTGGGCACACCCGGCTGTGTCCCCCAGCACACCCGGCTGTGTCCCCGAGCCCAGCACAGCCTGGCTGTGTCCCCCAGCACAGCCTGGCTGTGTCCCCCAGCACACCCGGCTGTGTCCCCGAGCCCAGCACACCTGGCTGTGTCCCCGAGCCCAGCACACCCAGCTGTGTCCCCCAGCCTGCCCCTCTGCCCCTCTGCCCCTCTGGAGTCCTCCCTGCCCCTCTCCCTGTGCTGCTCCTCAAGGCATCACAGGCACTGCAGAACTCCCCCAGCACCCTGGAGGGGATCTCACAAGTGAGAAAAGCAGGTTTTTGACTTTCTGTGGAGGTGATCCTTCATCTCCCTCAGTCCTAAGGGGCAGGAGGGCTGGGGGACTGGTATCAAAGCCTTCTGCAGCTCTTTCATTTTGGAGGTGTCCCCTCTGTCCCAGCCACCCTGCTCTTCCATGGCTTGCCATGCTCAGGATGCGGGGCCCAACTTGCTCCTTGCAGTTTGGCAGAAGAGAAGAGTTTTGCTTCCTCACATTGTCCTCTTCTAATGACAGTCTGAGTGCAGGCACACATGAAGCACCAGATTTCTGTCAGGATAGAAGCTGACCCCACCAAAATAAAAAGCTGCCAAACATGAAGAAGGCAAAGAAATCCCAGCTGCTATGACCAAGAACATAGGAAGGAATAATCACTGTCTTCCACATTATCAAACTGCATTTAAGTGGCTTTCAGTTGACAATTTCATGTGGTCTCCTATATTACAATCTGTCTCTTTTCCTCTCCTTTCCCCATGTCTCCTGCAGGAAAGAAGCGAGCTTGGATCCCTGATGAGAAAGAAGCCTATATCGAAGTGGAAATAAAAGAAAGCTCTGGTGGCAAAGTCACTGTGGAAACCAAAGATAAGGAAGTAAGCAAATACCTTTCCTTTTCCAAGGGAGAACAAGTGTGTGTGGAGGGGGGATCCGTGTGACAGGATCACGTCCCAAGCCGTGAGCTCTTGCTGATAACCCTGTCCGCTGATCAGTCGTGCCCCGGGGGGACACACACGGCGGTGTCAGCACACGTAGGCCAGTTCCTTGCCAAGGGTGGCACCAGTTCAGCATCTCCCACCGAGGGGTTGCTGTCACAGCCCTGTGGGTGTCCTGCGGGACACACCGAGGGCACGGTGGGGCTGGCCCAGCACAGCTCCTGGGTGGGGGAGCACCCCCAGCACAGCCCTTTGTGATGCTGAACCAGTGGCCGGCTCATCCCGGAGCCTGACACAACAGGTAAGGGGCCAGTTGGCCAATTCCTGCTCCTTTTAGCCCAGATCTGCAGTGGGGTGAGCTGTTGGGAGGAGAGGCGCCAGCTTTCCGCGGCAAAGCAAGCAAGGACCAGCTGGTATTTGTCAAGATAATATCCAGTGCAATTAGCTGCAAATGAGCTTAATTAATATTCCTTTCTTCACTGTGCAAGTTTCATGACCCTGCAATTTCACTGCAGAGCACACTCGTATGAAACTGGGGAAAAGAACAAGGACCTCACCCAGCATTAGATGATAGACTTTATTATTTCTGTTTCTTCTCTAGTCAGAATAGCACTAAGAACGGTTTGTGCTGCTAAATGTGAAAAAAAGAGATATGTAATTGTCTTTGAAAAGTGTCAAGGCTTTGAAAAGATTTTTGTCTGAATTTTGGAAAGCAAGTAAAGAGATTTGCCCTCTCAAAAGTAAAATTTGTCATAGAGGCGTTACAAATTTTAGAAATTTCTTCTGATATACAGAACAGCTTCCAATTCTGAGAACAGAGCAGTTTCCAAACCCTATTTGCGGTTTCCTCTTGAAACTGTCTTTTTAATGATTTGTCATGGATTTACAAAATCAGAAACTATATCAGCTTTCCCTGGATAAGCATTTCCAGCAGAAAGTCGAGATATAAAGCCCTCCCTTATCCTTCTGTGTACCCTCCTGCTTTTAACACCTGGCGCCTTTTAACACCTGGCGGGCACTATAATGTCGCGCTTCATCTTCACCCATAAAACAGATAAACCTCTGAAAGATTTCATTTAGTCTTTATTAACAGGACCATTTGCTAAATCCAGCTTCTCCATCCGGGCCAGATACGTAACGTGATATTTTCCCCGTGCTTGGTCTCGTGGGATTAAATAAATCCAGTTTTAAGTGATGGGGTACAGGCTTCAGCTGTTTGCCCAAATAACCAGGGATGTCTTTGGAGCAAAAGACAGGACTGGCACGGGCTATTAGGCTGGGAAGGAGAACACAGGGTGGGGGTGCCAAGCACATTTTGGGGGAATAACTTGGACCCCTCTGTCAGGCTCAGCAACAACCTGAGCTCAGGCTCAACCCTGAGGAGGGAGCAAGCTGGGTGTGCTTGTCCCAGCTGGGCTTTGTGGCCGGGTGCTGCTGGGGCTGCCCCGGGCCTGTCACCCCAGAATGTTGGGCAGCCCTGCTAGGATGACAGCAGGCACATGGCCAAGGCTGTCCCCAGCACGGGACTGTCAGGGTGTCCTCCCACCTGGCAGGTTTGGGGGCAGAGGGTGCTCGGTGAGGATTGGGGTCCCTCTGACGTGTCCCCCTCCTCTGACAGACACGGGTGGTGAAGGAGGACGAGGTGCAGCCCATGAACCCCCCCAAGTTCGACATGATTGAGGACATGGCCATGCTGACACACCTCAACGAGGCCTCTGTGCTCTACAACCTCAAGCGCCGCTACTCCCACTGGATGATCTACGTAAGCCCACGGCACCCGTGGGGTGGGGTGGGGGATCTGAGGGGGCATTGGGACATCCCCACATCCCTCATCTCCCCCTTTTCCCCCTGCAGACCTACTCGGGGCTCTTCTGTGTCACCATCAACCCCTACAAGTGGCTGCCGGTGTACAAGGCGCCCGTGGTGGCAGCCTACAAGGGCAAGCGGCGCTCGGAGGCACCCCCGCACATCTACTCCATCGCCGACAACGCCTACAACGACATGCTCCGCAGTAAGCGCTGCCCGGGGACCCGTCCCGGGGGGCCAGGGCTGCTGGGGCCCGGGCGCGGTGGGCAGCGCTGCCCTAACGCCGCCTCCTTCTCTTGCAGACCGTGAAAACCAGTCCATGCTCATCACGTAAGTGCCCCTCCGTGAGCAGAGACCCGCCGTGCTGTCCCCTTGCACGGGCACCCCGTGCCCGGAGCAGCCCCCCCGGCAGTGTCCCCTCCCCACCCCGCAGCTGTCGCCCTTGCCGCCGCCGTGCCAGGTGACAAAGCCGGGCTCCCCCGCACCCCGACAGCTGCGGGCGCTGCCGAGGGGCGCCCCGGGCACCCGCACCCTGCGGGGAGCCGGGGAAAGCAGAGATGGAGGCCAAGGCCGGAGGGAGATGGAGGCCAAGGCCGGAGGGAGATGGAGGCCAAGGCCGGAGGGAGATGCTGGCCGGAGGGGGAGAAGGGTGCTGTGGGAGGGTGGAGGCCAGGTTGATTTCAAGTGACATACAGATAAGGGCTATATAAAGGACTCTAAAGGACCCCTCGCCGCTGCCAGGAGCCACGGACATTTTTAGCCTCGGCCATGGCCTAATTAGGAAAGGCAGGGGCTGCGGAGGGATGCTTGGCGCGTGTCCGGTGGCGGCTCCCCCCGGCTCTTTGTGCTCTGGGATTACAATGGCACAGCGGCACTAACTATAGGCATGAGCTCAGCGGGGCCGCAGCCCCCCGGTGCCCTGCCAGCCCCGGGCCGGGCCCGGGCAGCTGCAGCCCCGCGGGCCCGGCACGGCACGGCACGGCCCGGCCGGCAGCGGGGCACACGGCCTGCCCCGAACACGGGCACGACCCCCGGGCTGGGGGTGAGTGAGAGCAGCCCCGTCCTGCGAGGCTTTGCTTTTCTGGGGTGGTTGTGCCTGTTCTGTGCCTCATGCCCTTCTCTGTGTGTTTCTGTTGCTCTAAGCGGAGAATCTGGTGCTGGTAAGACTGTAAACACCAAGCGGGTCATTCAGTACTTTGCCATTGTCGCAGCCTTGGGCGACACACCGGGCAAGAAATTAGTAAGAGCTTATTTTCAAACAAGTTCTTGTTTTCTTCCTTTCTTTCTTTTTTTTTTTTGTTTTTTTAATTGTTTTTTGCCCCACCTTCCCCTTTCTTCTTACTTTTTCTTCCCCGACTTTTTGCGTTTGGAAACATGTTTTGGTCTGACCCACCCAGGGCTTGGCTTTTCCCTGACTTTTGAACAAGCAAGGCTTGAAATTATTCTGCTCAAGGGGAAATGGAATTTTTTTTTTTTTTAATGTGGCTGCTCAATCCGTGCAGCCTGGAAGATGTACTTTAGTTGTTCTCTTTCTCTTCTCTTCCTCTTTCAATACCCCAGTGATCCTCTTAAGGAACATTAAAGGGATGAAGTAAACCTTCCATTTCCCACCTTGCCTCTTTTAAGCCTTGCTTTTCAGTATTTTCTCCTTTTTCCCCCCTCCTTTTGTTGATTTTGACCCTTTTCTACCTTGTGCTTTTCTTGCTCTTGTTTTGAATCTTGCTTTTCTTTGGTGCTGGTTATTTTTGAGCTGCCCTTGCAATTGCTTATTTCTTCTGGATACTTGGAGGCTCCAGCCTGCTTTCCCCTCGTGGAAGCAAACTGGCTGCTTTAGGTATCAGACAAGCAATACTTCAGCATTATTTTCTTTCCTCTTCTTCAAGTTTGAATTTAACTGTTCTTGCTTTTTGACGCATTTCTTTATTTTCTTGAGCTAATCTATTTAACAACTTTTTGGCCTCTCCTATAAAGTTTAATCCTCCGAGTTTTTTTTTCTCTTGGACTTTTTTTTGGCACTAAATGGTCATGCCCTGCTTTTCTGACCATGCTTCTTGTGGTTCTTGCCTGGCTTTCCTGGATTTCTAAAGATAATTTTTTCTCCTTTCTCTAGGCAGCTCTTGCCACTAAAACTGGGGTAAGTGTTGTGAGCTCTTTGATGCTGAGGACAGAGTTCTGCTGCACCACAGATCTATGATGGGGTGACATGTGGGGCCTCCTCCTTAAGTCTGGGAGCAGCTCCTGGGCAGTGTTTAGTTCTCTTGGCTCTGTATCTGCCTCCTTCCCACAGCTGGAAGCTTTGCTCTTTCATCTCTTTCTGCCTTTCTGACTCCAGCCTCTCCTTCAAGGGATAATTACTCTGGGTAGAAACATTAATTTCTGTCCAGTCTTTGCCTGGGAATGGTGTGGGCTCCTCCAAAAGTGAGGTGAAGCCTTCACACCCTGAAGATCCTCCTCAGCCTCAAAGCCCAGCTGAGGGGCAGGAGCAGACCCTCTGCCACAGGCAGCCCTGTGCTGCAGACCAGTGCCCTGCTGGTGCCCAGGCTTGCCACCCTCTGCCAAGCCCTGGACTGGCACTGCCCAGCACTTCAGTCCTTGCCTGGGGGACATTTCTGAGGTGTTTGCTCCAAGGAAACCCAGCAAAGGTTCAGCCCCTGGGGCTCCCAAGGGCTCAGTCACACGTCCTTGGTTTCTCTGAGCCTTTAGGTGGTGCACAGCCTTGGCTGGGAATGTTTATCATCACACAGTGGCCACTGGGACACACAGGGTGAGACAGCTCAGGGGCTGAACCTGTGCCTCTGGGGGCTGCCCAGGCCAGGTATTTTTAGGCCAGGCTGAATGCAGAGATAAGAGCTCCAGGGCTGCACAGGTGATGGTGTGTTGGTAACTGTGTGATGCACAGCTGCTCCCCATCTCTTTTGCCCTTCACACAGCTGGAAGGTGGGGAGCAGTTGTGGTTCCAGCATTGGAAAGAGAGGGTGGCTCTGGGTGGGCAGAGCCCAGAGCTGATGTTCCCCACCTGAGGAAAGCCCTGTGGATTGTAATGTGTCAGAGCATGGGCAAAGCTCTCATGAAAAGTCCTGCAGGTGTCTGTGCCACCAAACTCTGTAGCAGGTGTCAAACCCACTGTCCCTCATGTGGTGTAGCACCAGTCTCTTGCTCCTCTCCTCAAATCCTTGTCCTGCCTTATCTGCATTAGGCAGAGGCTGTTTCTTTATCTTTGAACAGAGAAACATACATGGGAGAAAACAAGGTTAGGAGAGGAATCATCTTAGGGCTTGCTCAGGAGAGCCCCACTATTCCCAGCAGATCATGCAGCTGGGACTTGTGGTGTATTCCCATCACACTGGGACCCTGCAGAGCATGTTGTTGGTGAAGGGACCTTGTTTCACAGTGTGCTGTTGATGTGAGCTGTCCTAGACTTTGGTTTGTGGAAGAGGAAATGCCTGACATCAGAGAGCCTGAAATGATTCAGCCTGTTGTGACAACATGAGCTTGCTCTTGGTGTGCAGTAGTGTAAGCTCCTGAGAAAGGGGGCAAGGACTGCTGTGTGCAGAGGGGACAGCAGCCTGGGACTCCAGTTTAGGTGAGGAGAAGGCCACAGAGGGCACTGCTGCAAACCCCAGCTGTGCTGATGAGCAGTCTGCATGGCCTGGGGAGCAGCAGGTCCAGCTGAGCCCTGGCGCTGCTCCTGCTCCTGGTGACAGATCCCCTCTGGCTGTGTGACACACCCTTTGGTTTTGTTCTCCAGGGCACCCTCGAGGATCAAATCATCGAGGCTAACCCAGCCATGGAGGCTTTTGGCAATGCCAAAACCATAAGAAACGACAACTCCTCCCGTTTTGTGAGTGCCTTGGGGGGACAGGGAGCTGTGGCTCTTCTGTGGGCTGCATGCACTGTGGGTGGCACTGTGGGCTTGTGCACTGGTGGTAGGGAGATGGATCTGCTTCCCAGTGGCACTGGACTGCCAGAGCCACGTTTTTCTGCTTACATCAGTGCAGCAAATGGTGGCCAGCATGAATGGCCCTGGTGTCACAGCCTGTGGCTGGAGAGACATCCCTGGCAGGACCAAAGCTGAGAGGGACAGTGAGCACAGCCTGGAGTGCTCTGGGACAGATATGTGTGTCCCTTCCAGGGAGTAGCACTGTGGTAGTTTCTGGGGTCCCCAGGACAAAGGAGGAATGATGAATCTGACTCCATGTTCTTAGAAGGTTAATTTATTTTATTATGATATGATATTATATTAAAGAATGCTATACTAAAACTATATTAGAGAATAGAGAACAGAAGGCTTAACAAGAATGGTAATGAAAACCCGTGACTCCTTCCAGAGTGCCGACACAGCTGGATGGTGATTGGTTATTAAGTAAAAACAATTCACATGAAACCTATCAAACAATGACCAGCTGTATAAACAATCTCCAGACCATATTCCAAAGCAGCAAAAACAGGAGAAGTGATCAGATAATTATTGTTTTCATTTTTCTCTGAGGCTTCTCAGCTTCCCAGGAGAAGAAACCCTGGCAAAGGGATTTTTCAGAAGATATGACAGTGACACAGCACTGGTTTTGCTGAGCCCAGGCTGGCTCTGCTGGGGCTGCAGAGCTGCTGTGCCTGGAGGGGAGGGAGGCACTGCTGGGGGAGACCCTGAGCCCAGCACGGAGCAGGGGCTGCAGGCAGGCTCCGTGCCACAGGGCCCTGCAGAAATGGGCAGTGGTAAGAATAGACCTGAGGACAGGGGTTTATCTGCTGTCAGGGAGATTTCTGCCTGCCTGGTATTCAAACCCTTGGGCAATGCTCTTTGAGCTTCTTCACATTACAAACCAGAGAACTTCACCCCTTTACAGAGTTCAGTAAGTTGCCTGGCATCAGCAGAAGCTCAAGAAGTGGGAAATTAATTCAGTTTCTGGGGGCTGTTGGGAGCTGGAGCTCTGTAGGCAAGCCCAGCACTTACCTCCTGTGGGTGTTTTCAGGGCAAGTTCATCCGGATCCACTTTGGCCCCTCAGGGAAATTGGCCTCTGCAGACATTGACATCTGTGAGTAGCTGCCCTAGGGAGGGAATTCATCCCACCATTTGTGCTCAGCTCTGGGAAGGCACAAGCCCTGCTCTGACCCCTCTGCCCTACTTCATTCTAGATCTTCTGGAAAAATCCAGAGTGATTTTCCAGCAACCCAAAGAGCGAAGCTACCACATCTTCTACCAGATCCTGTCTGGGAAGAAACCAGAGCTGCAAGGTAAGGCAGCCAGAGATGCAGGATGGCCTGAAAACAGCTCCAGAGATCTCTGTTGTCAGCTTTGGGGTCCCCAGGAATGAGCAGACCCAGCTCACCATGCAGGTTCTGCCTCTGAATGCTTTGCTAGCTGTGCAGGATCATGGCATTGGTGGAATTCAGGGTGGAAGGGATTTCAGGAGGTCATTAGCCCAGCCTCCATTATCCTCACAGGCTGAGAAGCCAGACTCAAGCCCTTTGTGCCACTGTGTAGGAGCAGAGGTCACGCAGGGTCTGTCTGCAAGGTGGGAATGTGCTCTGCAAAGCTGCCTTGCACAGAGTCCTCGTGGGGTGGTGGGTACAGCCCTGACCTCAGCGTGTGCAGGCTGCAGATTTACTCATTTTGGGATAGAGGAAGTGTTTTGCAGCCTCCTCAGCAAGTGAGGTGACCTGTCTCAGGTGAGCTTGGGCACAGCTGCCCAGCTCTCTCTGGGCACTGGTGTAGATGTGATCCCCAGGACAGCCCCACCTGATCTGAGCTTGTGCTGGGGCAGCTCTGAGCAGCCTCCTGGTGCCACGTCACACTCAGGAAGCCTTTCCCCACGCAGAAGGATGGCTGGCACAGCCCCTGGGGTGGTCAGCTCTTGGCTGAGGGCTCCTGAGCTTGGTGCTGAGCAGCACCTTATTAGGCAGGTCTGAGGGAGCAGTAATCTTATCTGGAGTCACAAGGGCATGGTGGCCACTTCTAAATCAGTCTGCAGCCAGGCCATGTCCCAAGATAGCAAGCTGGAGGCAAGCACAGAAGAGGTGGACCCATGTGTGGACCTGCCTGTGCTGGAAGGGGCTGTTCCTCCCCCAGCTGCTGAGGCTGGGGAAGCCTTCCTGCTCCATCTGTGTGCAGGGCTGTCCCTCTGCCCAGGGATGTCCCTGCCAGGCTGGCCTCACCCTCTGTGTGTCATCCCCCTGCAGATATGCTGCTGCTGTCCCTCAACCCCTACGACTACCACTTCTGCTCCCAGGGGGTGACAACAGTAGACAACCTGGATGACGGCGAGGAGCTGATGGCCACAGATGTATGTGCACAGCCCTGGGCCTGGGGAGGGCACAGCCTTCCTCTGGGCAGCTCTGGGGATGTGCCCTGCCTTCCTTGTGTCCCTCTTTGAATCAGTTGGGAATTCCCTCTGGGTCATTGGTGGCTGTTGTGCCTACAGGAAGGGACAGAGTGACAGATCTGCACCAACAGCCTCATCCAGGCAGGGAAGGGAGAGCCATTCCCTGCATCAGGAAGGGGCTGAGGCACATGAGCACTTCCCATGGTGTCCATGAGAAAGAAGATTACAGAACGATTAAATTTGGAAAAGACCCCCAAGATGGTTGAGTCCAACCTGTGATTTATCCCCATCCTGACACCCAGCCCAGAGCACTGAGTGCCATGTGCAGCCCTTCCTTGGACACCTCCAGGGATGGCGGCTCCAAACCTCCCTGAGCAGCCCCTGCCAATGCCTGACAACTCTTTCTGTGAAGGAATTCCTCCTGATATCCAACCTGACCCTCCCCTGGCACAGCTGGAGGTTGTTCCCTCCCATCCTGTCCCTGTTCCCAGGAGCAGAGCCCGACCCCCCTGGCTGTCCCCTCCTGTCAGGGAGCTGTAGAGATCAGTCAGGTCTCCTCCTGAGCCCCAGCTTGGAGAACCTCCTCCTTGTGGATGCTAGGCCAGTCCTTTTGCTTTCAAATGGGTCTTGTGGGAGCTGGAGCCACATTCAAACCCCGTGAACAGGATTCCTTGGTTAGGTGCCCTCCAGAGAGGGCACCCTGCCCAGCCCCAGGACAGGGAGAGTACAATGGGAGAAGGGCCCTCACGTCAGCGTGGTGAATTTGCTTTATCTGGACTGCGTTGTGTCTCCTCAGCACGCCATGGACATCCTGGGCTTCAGCAGCGATGAGAAATACGGCTCCTATAAAATAGTGGGGGCCATCATGCACTTTGGGAACATGAAGTTCAAGCAGAAGCAGCGGGAGGAGCAGGCAGAGGCTGATGGCACTGAAAGTGAGTGGGGCTCTGTGCTGCAGACCTGCCCAGGCTGGGATAACTCCCCTGCCTGGCCTGTGGGGATCCCCTGATCCCCTGATCCCTCACTGATCTAGCCCTGCTGGGGTGCACCAAGGGTGCACCTTGAGCAGGAGTATTTGGGATGGTCCCTCTGCACGGTGGTCTCATCTGCATCAGACTGGTCTCAGCAGCATCGCAGGCTGTCACACCCCTGCTCACTGACCTCTCCCTGCTGGGGTGCACCAAGGGCTCGGCCTTGAGCAGGAGTATTTGGGATGGTTCCTCTGCACGGTGGTCTCATCTGCATCAGACTGGTCTCAGCAGCATCGCAGGCTGTCACACCCCTGCTGGGCTTCATCTTGTGCAGTCTCCTCCTGCTCCTCACCTCCTGCCCTTCCCTGGACAGCATTCCAGGCAGGGCATCCACAGAGGATGAGCCAGGCTGGGAGCAGGTCCTGCTCAGCTCACAGCCTCCTGGGGAGCTGGTAGAGTAGGACACAATCACTGTCTAACACTTCTCCTGGTTTGTTGCTCAGCAAAATCCAATGCAATTCACAAATCTAAGAATAGTCAGGCTGCAGAACAAACCCGAAGGGAAAGGGTGACATTCCAGCACGTGGGAGGGTAAGAAGGGGGAACTCTAGCACATAATTGGAAGGTTTCAGCAGGGATCCAGCAGAAATTGCTTCCTGGATCAGTCTTTGTCACATTAACATTCATGAAAGAAAAGTTCTCTGTGCCTCAGGAGTGACAACACAGGCTTTAGCTGCTACCTGGTAATTAATGAAGGTTTTGACATGGCAGTGATTGCCCTAGAGAGGTGATTTGCTAGCTACAATCTGCTGTCAGGAGTTTTTGAAAGACAATCCCCTCTTTTCCGATCACTTCAAATTCACTGCATAGAAATTCAAACGTCCACTGGAAAATGCATAGAGAATCCCAGATCAATAAGGCTAAACCTGATAAGCACCTGATAAGGTGCAGCAAGCCTCCAAACAGTAACTTCTCAGTCAGGAGGTTCAAACTTTAAAGCATCACTGACTATCCAAGATGTAAAATCACATTAGACACTGGAAGAGGTGGAAAAACCAGTGTGGTTAGCACTGATCATCATAGGAGCAGGTCATTTTTTATTTTGGTTCCTTTTTCCCTTCCCAGACCCTCCTTGCAGGCTCCTCATGCCTTTGTGCTGCCTTCCAGGTGCTGACAAAGCTGCCTATCTCATGGGAATCAGCTCAGCTGACCTCATCAAGGGGCTGCTCCATCCTCGTGTGAAAGTGGGCAATGAGTACGTGACCAAAGGTCAGAACGTGGAGCAGGTGAGTGGCAGGACAGCAGGACACCTGTCCCCTGCTCACACTGGGCTGCCACTGGTGCTTCAGTTCACTGGCTTGGGTGTAGGAGGAGACTCCAGAGCAGCAGGAGAAGGTGTATCCACACTTCTTGGCTTTTAGGAGAAAATGGGTGGCAGAGCTGGCTGATAGCTTTGCACATTAAGCAAGGCTGGAGATTCAAAGAGTGTCTGAAATGGGTTGGCCCCCAGCCAGAGCAGGTCCAGGTTCTGTGGATCTGCTTCAGAGACAGTCACACTCCTGTGAAGAGTTCAGCCCTGAAAATTAGAAAACTCTGGATAGCTAAACACTCATCTGAGTTGATCTTGTAGAAGACTCAAATGCACCAAACATCTTGTCAGATTGCAGCCACACCCCAGCTGGGAACCCAGACCTGGCCTGAATAGTGCAGGCCAGTCCTTGAGCACAGTTCAGGAGCTGGTGTCCTGTCCAGAGTGGACTGTAGGCTCTGGCCAGGCACAAGGCTTCTGAAAATGTCACTTTAAACTGAATTTATATCCTAAGACCTTGGAGGAAAGATAGGCCAGGTGGGCAGGAGCACGCTTGTGAGGAATGCAGAACTAATTTTGGAGCTTGTGCTGTAACCACGAACCCCATGGATGGGTCTGTCCATCCTTTGTGTGCCAGGAGGAGCTGTCTCTGAGCCTGTGGCTCCTGCAGGAGCAGAGAGGAGCTCAGTGAGTGCTCTGGGCTGTGCCTTGGCAGGTGCTCTACGCCGTGGGGGCCCTGGCTAAAGCCACCTACGACCGCATGTTCAAGTGGCTGGTGACCCGCATCAACAAGACCCTGGACACCAAGCTGGCCAGGCAGTTCTTCATCGGCGTGCTGGACATCGCAGGCTTCGAGATCTTTGATGTGAGTTCTGCAGGCCCCTGCAGCGGGTTCAGGGAGTGTTCTAGGGGCAGCTCAGTCCTGGAAAATGCATAGAGAATCCCAGATCAATAAGGCTAAACCTGATAAGCACCTGATAAGGTGCAGCAAGCCTCCAAACAGTAACTTCTCAGTCAGGAGGTTCTAACTTTAAAGCATCATAGACTATCCAAGATGCAAAATCACATTAGACACTGGAAGAGATGGAAAAACCAGTGTGGTTAGCACTGATCATCACAGGAGCAGGTAATTTTTTATTTTGGTTCCTTTTTCCCTTCCCAGACCCTCCTTGCAGTCTCCTCATGCCTTTGTTCTGCCTATCTGCTGGCCTTGATGAGGAGCTCTGGTCTGAATTGATGTATCTGGAGCAAGCAGGCAGCTCTCAAGGCATGGTTTAACATTGCTGTGGGCACATCTCTAGTGATTGCTGGCTACCTGCTGTGCTAGCCACACAGCTGAGCCTGGCAGGGATCACCCTTCACACCAGGCAAAGCACAAGAGTGAATCCCTTCCCTTCTGGAGCTCCTCCTTCTGACTTGGATCTGTTTTGTTCTTGCAGTTCAACAGCTTCGAGCAGCTGTGCATCAACTTCACCAACGAGAAACTGCAACAGTTCTTCAACCACCACATGTTTGTCCTGGAGCAGGAGGAATACAAGAAGGAAGGCATCGAATGGGTCTTCATTGACTTTGGCCTGGACCTGCAGGCCTGCATTGACCTGATTGAGAAGGTAGAGTGTGAGGCAGGGCATGAAAATGGTACTGCTGGGGGATGGTTTGTGTGCAAGGGCTGCAACAGAGAGGTGCTCTGCTACCAAAATTAAATTTTTCCCTCCCTCATCAGTGGCAAGTACCCAACTTTTTTTTCCCCCACACTTACAGCTCAGAGCCTCCAGCCCTTTGAGACCTTTTCCACACAAATTTTGACTTTATGAAAACATGGAAATTCTGTTTCTACCCGCTGGGAGCCACAAAACCTGGTGCAACCTTTTCCTCCAGAGAGCAGTCATCTCTTCCCCCCTTTTCCTACCCACTTGCAGCCCATCAGTGCCTCTTGACCATTCAGAGCAGTTTGTAGAAAATATTTCCACCATTCTGTTGGGCCTGGGCAAACTTCCATGTCTTGCAGGCCTGGCCAGTCCCACTTGGAGGTCAGGTGCAGCCTGGAATATGCCAGTGACAGCTTGGCTCTGTGGCCAGTGTCTTGCCCCTGGATTAGGATGGGATCCCCCAGGTCAAGCCCATGCTCAGTGGCACACAGCACCCCTGTTTTGGGATGGGACATGGCAGCACTGAGCTCAGTCCTCTTCATCCCCCCTCTCCCTGCAGCCCATGGGAATCCTGTCCATCCTGGAAGAGGAGTGCATGTTCCCCAAAGCCTCTGACATGACCTTCAAGTCCAAGCTCTACGACAACCACATCGGGAAGTCGCCCAACTTCCAGAAGCCGCGGCCGGACAAGAAGCGCAAGTACGAGGCGCACTTTGAGGTGGTGCACTACGCTGGTGTGGTAGGTCCCTGGCAGCTCTTCCCAGCCCCCACACCTTCCCCGGGCAGGGACAGGGCTGGCCTGACCTTCCTGTCCTGGCACAGGTGCCCTACAACATCGTGGGCTGGCTGGACAAGAACAAGGACCCCCTGAACGAGACAGTGGTGTCCGTCTTCCAGAAATCCCAGAACAAGCTCCTGGCCTCCCTCTATGAGAACTATGTGGGCTCTGCTTCAGGTGAGGAACCCCCTCACCACCTTTTTTACCTCAGTGTCTCCCCTCCTCTCCTCCATGCCCAGCTGTTGGTGCAGTATCCCTGTCCCTGGCAGCCCAGGCAGAGGGAAAACCCACATTGATCACTAAAATCCTAGTAGGTGGGTGTTGGTTTGAGGGCTTGTGTAGGGTTGTAGGGTTGTTGTGGTGGCCCTGTAAATTTAGGAGTGTGAAGGGGTGTCTTACTACTGGGAGCTGAGGAACAACACCCAGAGCTGGGTGCTGTGGGAGATGGCTGCTGGGTGTTTTTGGTGGCCAGTGCCTTTGTTTTGCAGCAGGGCACAACCACCTCTGCTTTAGAGACAGCAAGGGCTGTGGGAATTTTAGGGGTGTTCAAGGGCACCCTGAGTTCTTCAAGGCAGGCAGATGTTTTGCTGATGTAAGTAATCAATATTTCAACCCAACAGAGGAACCTCACAAGCCAGGGACCAAGGAGAAACGTAAGAAGGCAGCTTCTTTCCAAACTGTGTCACAGCTGCACAAGGTGAGAGCCAGCCCCTCATCCAGGGCCCTGAGGGAAACGTGCTGAGGGTCCCACTGGCAGTGCCACTTCCCTGCCAAGACTCTGGGCTTCTTGCACCTCCTGGGGCCTGAGGGACCATGAGAGCTCCTGAGGGGCCATGAGAGCTCCTGAGGGGCCATCACTAGAGCAAAGCCCCCAGCTCCCTCCATCCCTGGCCAAGGGGGCTGTGCCTGGCAGAGTGGCAGCCCTGTCCCCGTGCTCCTGGGGCAGGACACGAGGCTCCAGGCTGGCAGAGCTCCCTTCCCTTGGAGCTGGGCTTGTGCAGCTCCTCCGCCTCTGAGAGAGCGGCAGTTAAGACTTGTAGTGATGTTTAGATAATTAATTACATGAACATCACTTTAAGTCTGTGCTGCTTCTCTCCTCGTTCCTGCCAGCGGGAAGGACAGCCTTTGGGCAGAAGACAATGGAGGAGGATCTTGCAGGTCTCTGAGCAGGCCGCTCCCTGTCCTGGGGGGTGACCTGGCCCATTTTACTGCTCAGGGTGTCTCACAGCTCCATGCCATGCTCACCACTGGAGTTTCTTGTCCAACCCAGAGCTCAGCCAACTGGAAGGCAGCTCAGAGGGATGTGTCCTGCCATGGCAGCCTTGTGGTGACAGTGCAAAGGTCACAGCCCCGAGGCTGCCAGAGCTCCAGGAGCATTTGGACAGCACTCCCAGTCACAGGGTGGGGTTGTTGGGGTGTCTGTGCAGGGCTAGGAGCTGGGCTGGGTGATCCTTGTGGGTTCCTTCCAACTCAGGATATTCTGTGATTCTTTGCCAAGGTGCTTGCAGAAGGCAGCTCTGTGGCAGAGCCCCTGTTGAGGGAAAAGTGTGACTTTCTTCCTTCTGGACAAGTCACAGGCCTTGGGGAAAGTGTCTGTGGTGAGGAGTTGCCCCATGGTGATGGGGAGCTGTGGGAAGGTGTTCTCTTCCCTGAGCTGGTCCTGGACAGGCTGAGCCTGTACAAGCAGGGGAAGGCAGCTGCAAACATCAAGGGTAGAGCTGCCTTGGAGAGAAAAGGAGGAGTCTGGTACAGCAGGGCCCTCTGTCACGGGGTGAAGCACTGTGGAGGAGCAGGGAAATCCTGCATATCCTAACATTCTCTGTCTGCAGCCAGTGTGGACAGCAGCACTGGAACTGCAGGGTGCTGAGCACAGAGCTCTGTACCAGGAATTTGCTCAGTCCCGTGTCCCTGGCTCTCCCCTGCAGCGAAACTTTACCTACAAATACTTGGGAAGCATCTGGCACAGCAAAGTTCTTAGCACAGCGACACCTGCCAGTGCCATTTGGCCTGTCTGCCTGCCCAGCCCCCTCTGCCATGGGGACAGTCTCCCAGCCTGGCAGGAGGACTGACCCTTCGCCAGTATGTCCACTGCCAGGAGAGCAGGAGGAAATTCCCTTTCTCCTGCCATAAGGGGCTCTCAGGGTCTGCTCCCTCCCTGCCTGTGGGGGAAAGGGGCTGGAGAGAAGGAGAAGCAGGGCAGCAGAGCTGTCCCCTCACCCCCTGTGTGCCCTGCAGGAGAATCTCAACAAGCTGATGACCAACCTGCGCTCCACCCAGCCCCACTTCGTCCGCTGCATCATCCCCAACGAGACAAAGACCCCAGGTATGGGACAGCTGGGGCAGTGCCCTGGGGACAGCCACATCTGGGAACTGGGAGGGATTCTTGCACCCACCCTCTCCCCAGCCCTCTTCCTGCTGCCACTGAGCCCTGACCCCATCTCAGTGCTGAAACTCCTGTGACCCGGGTCCATCTCCTCTGCTGGGGAGAATGAGCTTTGCCAGGCTCCCATTTTGGCTGTGCAGCCTGGCACCTGGATAGCAGCAGGCATGGATGAGTCTTCCAGGCTGAGTTCCACCATGCAAGGCACAGGCTGCAGCACTGGTGCTCAGCACACACCTGCAGGACAGCCTGTTCAAACCACGGGGTGTTCCCAGGGTTCAGACCCGGGCTGCAGCTCCATTTCCTCTGCCTTCTTGGGCTGAGCATTGCTCCGTGTGTGTCGTGCCCCACAGGAGCCATGGATTCCTTCCTGGTGCTGCACCAGCTGCGCTGTAACGGGGTCCTGGAAGGGATCCGCATCTGCCGCAAGGGCTTCCCCAACAGGATCCTCTACGCGGACTTCAAGCAGCGGTAACCCCCTCTTCTTCCTCACCCAGCACGTCTTTTGAGGGCAGGCACATTTGTCCTGGCTCCAACCTGCTCCCCAGCTTGTGCAGAGGTGCTCTGAAGCCCCACATGGCCCCAGTGCCTGTCCACTTTGGGATGGCTCTGCTGCTGTGGCTCTGCTGCTGGCTCTGGAGAGTTTGGGATGGGATCTGGGTGTTTGAGGTGCTGGTGCAGGGGGAAGGTGGCAAGGCTCAGGCCTCTCTGATCCTGGCTCAGATTTCTCTCTGCCCTTGGGGTGGATCCTTAGGGTTCTCACCTCAGGGTTCCATCCATGCTGCTTAGCACAGGCCTAGTGAGGGCAGTGGCCTCCTGGCACAGTTTCCCCAATGTTCAGGGACTAAAGTTTGCCAGGGTTCCCTAGTGCCTGCAGTCCTGTGCCCTGGAGCAGCTGGTTCACACCCAGCTGTGGGGCAGCCCCGTGGCTTCAGCGGGCACTGCCATGCCTGGGGCTCAGGTGCTGCAGTCCTCTTGCATGGCCTCCCTCTGCTTTGCCCCGCAGCTACCGTATCCTCAATCCAGCAGCCATTCCAGAGGACAAGTTTGTGGACAGCAGGAAGGCCACAGAGAAGCTGCTGAGCTCCCTGGAACTGGACCGTGCACAGTACAAGTTTGGCCACACCAAGGTGAGAGGGGGCAGCTGATCCTTGGGAGGGAGAAGTGTCCCCTGCTGTTAGTCTCCGTGCCTGTCTCTGCCTGGCCCCAGCCCTGCTGTAGCCCTGCACTCTGCAGGGTCTGTGTGGCCCTTGAAGGGACTCAGGAGGGCAGAGGAAGGTGTAGGCTGGGAAGAGAAAGAGCAGCTCTGAGCAGGTCACTGCTGCCTGACATCATCCCACCCAAACATCATCTTGTCCCTGCTGGGGAGGATGACGTGCTCGGGGCAGGTCTGGTCCCTGTGCCATGAGTGGGGGCACCTCCATGTTTCCCTGGCAGGCTGTGTTACCCCTGAGCCCTCTGTCCTTCTGCTGGTGACTCCACTCTCTTGGCCACAGGTGTTTTTCAAGGCTGGTTTGCTGGGCTTGCTGGAGGAGATGCGAGATGAGCGTCTGGCCAAGGTCCTGACAATGCTCCAGGCCAGGATCCGTGGGTACCTCATGCGTGTGGAGTATCAGAAGATCATCAGCAGGAGGTAGAGCTGTGGGGGCAAAAGGCAGAACTTTGTGTCTCCTTGTCTCTTCTGCACGTGTCCATGAGTTTGACCTGTGGGGTTTGCCTGTGTCTGGCAGTGATTGGTCCTGAGGGATGGAGGTAACCTGGAAGAGGTCTGGCATGGCCCTGGTAGGGAGGATCAGGGTGTGGGGAGCTTCTGGTTTCCACTGGAAGATTCAGAGGGAGGCAGAGTGAGGAGAGCTGAGATCCAGGCCACCCCACCCATCCCAGCTGGGCCAGTACAGTGTGCAGACAGTGTCCCAATTCATTCAGCATTCTGCCATTTGTCCAGCTGCTGGAGAATGGAGCCATATCCAGGCCTGCAGAAGCCAGGATGGGACATGGGAAATGTCCAGTCCTGATGATGCTGTGCTTGTATTCCCCCAGGGAAGCCCTCTACACCATCCAGTGGAACATCCGTGCCTTCAACGCTGTCAAGAACTGGTCCTGGATGAAGCTGTTCTTCAAGATCAAGCCTTTGCTCAAGTCTGCTCAGACTGAGAAGGAAATGTCCAACCTGAAGGAGGAATTCCAGAAGCTGAAGGAGGCTCTGGAGAAGTCTGAGGCCAAGAGGAAGGAGCTGGAAGAGAAGCAAGTCTCCATGATCCAGGAGAAGAATGATCTGGCTCTCCAGCTGCAGGCAGTGAGTGCCTCACCCTCTCTCTGGGGGTGTTAAGACAGTACAGGGTCCATGGGTAGAAGGAGCAGAATATTCTAGAACCCTCCTTCAGCCTCTTGCAGTTCTGAAGCTCCCTCATTGTCACAATCTGTCTGAAACACAACCTAAGACTGCAGACCTGAAGTACCATCATGTCCTGGGGCTGTCACAGGGATTTGTGATCCCCTGGCTCTAGGAAGGGTGCTCTCCTCACAGAGGAGTGGGAGGGGATTGCAATGTTTGCTTGCCAAATTTTGTGCTCTTTTTTTTTTTGTTTTGTCGTCCCTCTGGAAAGATGGAGCTGCTCTTTGGCCCTGGTCAGTGTGAGTGGTTGAACCTTGGTGATGGGCAGTGACTGGAGCTGTACTTTTTGTACACCTGAGCACCTCGGGCTTGCTCTGCCCCTTCCACAAGGAGAAGGCCAGGACAGCAGGGCTGAGAGCAGGCTCCTGGGGAAGAGGGTGAGCGCTGCTCTCCTGTGCCTCTCCCAGGAGCAGGACAACCTGGCAGATGCAGAGGAGCGCTGTGACCTGCTCATCAAGTCCAAGATCCAGCTGGAGGCCAAGGTGAAGGAGCTGATGGAGCGTGTGGAGGATGAGGAGGAGATGACCTCGGAGCTCACCGCCAAGAAACGCAAGCTGGAGGATGAGTGTGCAGAGCTGAAGAAGGACATTGACGACCTGGAGATCACGCTGGCCAAGGTGGAGAAGGAGAAACACGCCACAGAGAACAAGGTAACCAACCTCCCTGCAGTGCCAGCCTCAGTGCCTGTGGGGACACCAGAGGAACATCTGGGATAAGGCTGCTGATGTGGGGAAACTGGGGCAGGGCAAAGGGGAAAGGGGAGTGTGAGAGGGAAAAACCCTCTGTGTCCTGCCTTATTGCCCAGAGGGCTGTGGGCAAATGGTTCTGTGATGTGGCAAGTGATCTGAGGCGTGGAAACCCACCTGGTGAGGCCAGCCTGGCCAAGGGGACAGGGGCTGGCTGCTGGTGGGGAGCAGAGCTGCTGGTGCCCGTGGATGGACTCCTGCCTTGCCAGGGTCAGGCTGCTGGAGTAGCTTTGCACCTCCCTCTGAGGTGCTCTCTACTTCTGTTCTCACTGATGCAGGTTAAAAACCTGATTGAGGAGATGGCTGGTCTGGATGAGATCATTGCCAAGCTGACCAAGGAGAAGAAAGCCCTGCAAGAGGCCCATCAGCAGGCCCTGGATGACCTGCAGGCTGAGGAAGACAAGGTCAACACACTGACCAAAGCCAAGGTCAAACTGGAGCAGCAAGTGGATGATGTGAGTCACAGGCCAGTGAGAATAAAGCAAGAGAGGTTTGAGTCACATGTCCAGGAGAGCCCAAAGGCTGTCCCTGAGTGGGATCTGGAGTGTGGGATGTCACCAGATCCCCCTTTAATATGGCCAGTTGATCAATAATCCCATTGACAAACTACCCCTGAAACAAGAGGTGGTGTAGAGCACCTCATGGAGAGCAGTCCTGGGCTGAGGGAGCGGGACTGGAGACCAGCTGGGAAACACCTCTGGCTCCCAGGGGATTGGTGAAGTTCCACAGCAGTGGACATGGGTAAGGGTGGGGCTACAGAAGGTCTTTTCCTTCCCTACCCCACCTCCCTTTGTTCTCCAGCTGGAAAGCTCTCTTGAGCAAGAAAAGAAGGTCCGCATGGACCTGGAGAGGGCAAAGAGGAAGCTTGAAGGAGACCTGAAGCTGTCACAAGAGTCTGTAATGGATCTGGAGAATGACAAGCAGCAGCTGGATGAGAAGCTCAAGAAGTGAGTGTGTGACACATGCCTGGGCTCTGGGCACCTCTAAATCCAGATGTGTGGATCTAGGGGCAGCTGGGCGGTGGCTCTGAGCACTGCTGTGTGACCAGCCCAGGCAGTGGGGGTTTGGTTTTCCTGGGCACTTTGCAGAGAGGCTGAGGAGCTTGTGACAGGCTCATAGACCAGGGCTCATAGACCTTCCTTTGTCCATGGGGCTGGAGAGGAGGGACCTGCCTGGCAGATCCAACACACTGCTGGGGCCTCAGCTGCAAGTACAGACTTCAGTTATGCCCCATTCTCACTGAGGAACTGGAGAACACCTTGCGACCCCAGAGAGAAACCCTCAGAGCCAGCTGTCTGCCAGTTTGGCTACTTGAGCCCTTTCTGTGAGCCTTCCATGAGCTGCTGCTTATCCCCACAGTCCCTTTCTGTTGTGGGCTTGTTCATCCTCTGGCCTGGGTGTAAGAGTGCAAGGAAATTTAGGAGCCAGAAGGACCTGTCAGGACAGTGTTTGTCTGATCAGAGGCTCTGTCTTCTGTCTGTGCAGGAAAGACTTTGAGATGAGTCAGCTGAACTCAAGGATTGAAGATGGGCAAGTGATGGAGGCCCAGCTGCAGAAGAAGATCAAGGAGGTCCAGGTATGGTGAGAGGAACTGTTCTTACATCCTGGGACTCCAAAATTTCCATTAGATGTGATGTGCAGGGGAATCTGCATGAGCCAGTCCCTCTGTGAGCACAGGGACATCTCCCTGGAAAAAGCTGGCATGGGTGGCAGGAGCCAAGCCCTCTGCCAGAACATGGGTTGAAAATTAAAGAATGAGCTATTGAGGTGAACACTGTCACCAGCCTGAGGAACAGCTTCCAGGATGTAGTTCTCTGTCCAAAATAAAACCTTTAATCTGGTAACCAAACTCTGAAAATCCAAATCTAGGACACTGGGCTTCTTCCTATCAGAGATGGGTTCCAAAATCATGAAAGTTCCCATGAAAAGGAGATAATGCCAGCTGGATCCTTATAGCAGGGACAGAGGGGAACAGGAGCTCCAAATACGCTACCAAGGAGCACCTGCCTCCCAAAACAGCCCAAGACTGGTGGCTTTATGTCTCCCATCATCATCTGCTCCACTGTGGAGAGCAGAGATGCTGGAGCTTCACCCAGAGCTCGGAGCACCTGCCCTTTTGTGTGTGTGCAGGCGCGCGTTGAGGAGCTGGAGGAGGAGCTGGAGGCCGAGCGCGCCGCCAGGGCCAAGGTGGAGAAGCAGCGTGCGGAGGTGTCGCGGGAGCTGGAGGAGCTGAGCGAGCGGCTGGAGGAGGCGGGCGGCAGCACGGCCACGCAGCTGGAGCTCAACAAGAAGAGGGAGGCGGAGTTCCTGAAGCTGCGGCGGGACCTGGAGGAGGCCACGCTGCAGCACGAGGCCACGGCGGCCGCGCTGCGCAAGAAGCACGCGGACAGCGTGGCCGAGCTGGGCGAGCGCATCGACAGCCTGCAGCGCGTCAAGCAGAAGCTGGAGAAGGAGAAGAGCGAGATGAAGATGGAGATTGATGACCTCTCCTCCAATGTTGAGTACATCACCAAGAACAAGGTGGGTCCTGGTTCTCCGTGGGGCTGGTTGGTCTCTCCTGTGGGTTTCAGTGGGTGCGGTGTGAGCACGTCCATGGCGTGGTGTCTCAATTAGCTCTTTGCCATGGCCAAGTCCTGTTGCTATAGGACACAAGACAACACGGCGCAGACACCCTGCTGTTCTCAGGGCAGGAAAAGAGAGCGTTTATTTTCTGACTCCTACCTTTCTAGATTTCCAAAGGTGACAGAGGATTGGAGGGTGAAAGTGCCACCTCTCCAGGGACACTGGACAAACTAACAGTCCATCAAGTTTCTCCTCCTCCATAAAAGAATGCAAAACAATAAGTTGTTTACAGAAAGTGTGTGAGAAAGTTTGATACAAGAATGCAAACATCAGAAGGCTTAGAAAATCTTAAAAAATCAGGGCGACATAGTCCCTCTTTGACCTGCAGCTTGTCCCTGTGTCACTACAAGATGCTTTACTTGTCCTAGTCAAGTCTGGAGGCTCTGGGAAGATATTTCCTGGGAAGCTTGACTGCAGAGAGCCACTATTATCTTAGCAGCGAGCTCTGGCAGGCTCCTGCTCTCTGCCTTGTGTGCCCGTAGGATCCACCGAGCAGGGCAGGGTATCCCAGGGTGGGAGATGGTGCTCTGTGGCCAGAGCTGAGCTCAGCCAGGCTGTGCTCTGTGGCCAGAGCTGAGCTCAGCCAGGTGGTGCTTGGTGCCTGCAGGCCAACGCTGAGAAGCTGTGCCGCACCTACGAGGACCAGCTGAACGAGGCCAAGGCCAAGGTGGACGAGCTGCAGCGGCAGCTGACGGACGTGAACGCCCAGCGGGGCCGGCTGCAGACCGAGAACGGTGCGTGGGGCACAGGCCAGGGGCACCCGCTGCCTCAGGAGTGCTCTGGCTCTGGTGTCTGGCTGGAGAGAGGGGTTCAGCCAGGCAGGCTGTTCTCCTTCTGTGGAGGGAGAACGAGTTGTGCCTCAGGAGGGATTCCTCGCTGGCATCCCTTGCCTTTAACTGGTTGCACCTCTGTCCATGGCCCAGCTTGCCCTGGTTGGGGGACAGCTGGGACAGCTGGAGGCCACAGGCTCTGGGGGAGTGTGGGCTAGTGCAGATTGCAGCTCTACAACCCTGAAGTAGCAGTTTTGGCTGTGTTTGAACCCAGGGGAGCTTAGCCGGCTGCTGGAGGAGAAGGAGTCCTTCATCAACCAGCTGAGCCGTGGCAAGGTCTCGTTCACACAGAACATTGAGGAGCTCAAGAGGCAGCTGGAGGAAGAGACCAAGGTGAGGTTTCAGGGCATGGCTGCTCTCTGAGTGGCACTGTGGCACTGCCCCACACCCTTGGACTGGGGAGGTGGGACATACCCTGCAGGGCATCCCTCACCTGGGAGGAACAGAAGTTCCCTGCTGCTGCTCCCAGTCATGGTGCCATGGCCTGTGTCCTGGAGCCTGGAGTCAGCTGCTGCTCTCTCTTCCTCAGGGCAAGAATGCCCTGGCCCACGCCCTGCAAGCCTCCCGGCACGACTGTGACCTGCTGCGGGAGCAGTACGAGGAGGAGGTGGAGGCCAAGAGCGAGCTCCAGAGGAACTTGTCCAAAGCCAATGCTGAGGTGGCCCAGTGGAGAACCAAGTACGAGACTGATGCCATCCAGAGGACTGAGGAGCTGGAGGAAGCCAAGTAAGTCCCATGGCACAAGTCAGTTCCTTGTAGGTGGCAGCTTTCTGTTCAGCAGTGGGGCTCTCCCAGGCTGGGGTGACACAGCACGCTCCTCCTGGGTCAGAGGCTGTGGGGCGGGATGGCACGGGGCAGGGAGCGCTCACCCCGCTGCCGTGGCAGGAAGAAGTTGGCCACCCGGCTGCAGGAGGCGGAGGAGGCCGTGGAGGCCGCGCACGCCAAGTGCGCCTCGCTGGAGAAGACCAAGCACCGTCTGCAGACCGAGATCGAGGACCTGTCGGTGGACCTGGAGCGCGCCAACGCGGCCTGTGCTGCCCTGGACAAGAAGCAGCGCAACTTCGACAGGATCCTGGCCGAGTGGAAGCAGAAGTACGAGGAGACCCAGGTGGAGCTGGAGGCGTCGCAGAAGGAGTCGCGCAGCCTGAGCACAGAGCTCTTCAAGCTCAAGAACGCCTACGAGGAGTCCCTGGACAACCTGGAGACCCTTAAGAGGGAGAACAAGAACCTGCAGGGTAGGACTGGGCTCAGGCACTCCCCTGGGGCTCTGCCCAGGCTGCTGCTCCTGCTCCTCAGGCACGTGGGATTGGTCCCTTGTTGGCCAGGACTGGCCTTGCTGCTCAGCCCATCCACTGGAAGGATGCAGCAGCCCTGCTGGGATGCCAGCGTGTGTCCTCATGGTGGGCACACTCTGGGAGGACTGGCAGAGCCACTTGGCTCCTGTCCCCAGAGGGCTGCTGTTCCCAAATGGTGCTGCCAAGTGCCATGACGCTGCCTTGGGGGTGGTGCTGTTGGATAAACAGGTCTCCCCAGGTCCTTAGTGCCTCTTGTATGCTCTCTCCCACACTGCAGAAATATTCCCAAGCACAGCCTTGGATGCTCTTTGAGAGTCTGAGGGACATCAGCTGAGCCTGGGCAGGGGGATGGGGACATCACTTGCACAGGGCTGTCCCACAAACTCCTTCCTGACCAAACTCCTTCTGTCCCTGGCAGAGGAAATTGCTGATTTGACTGACCAGATCAGTCTGGGCGGCAAAACCATCCACGAGCTGGAAAAGGTGAAGAAAGTGCTGGAGAGCGAGAAGAGCGATATCCAGGCAGCTCTGGAGGAGGCTGAGGTGAGTCCTTGTTTCTCATATGTTCCTGCTGCCCCCAGGAGCCACTGGCCCACCCTGCAGCTCTGGTTGTGTGCTGCTGGGGGTGACAGTCCTGAGCAGGCTGTGACCCCTGGGAATCCCATTCAGCGGGGTCCCACAACCACTGCAGGCAATGGAGTGGCTCCACCTGCTCTGCCCCTCATAACAATGGGCTGGGGGACAAGGCCTGGGGCAGTGGGTGGCTGTGGGGAGCCCCCTTCCCATGGCTGAGCTGTCTCTAGGGAGCCCTGGAGCACGAGGAGAGCAAGACCCTGCGCATCCAGCTGGAGCTGAACCAGATCAAGGCTGAGATGGACAGGAAGCTGGCGGAGAAGGATGAGGAGTTTGAGAACCTGAGGTGTGTGGGGTGAGGGGACGGGCTGGGCCATCACTGCAGGGGCAGGGCTGGCAGGGCTGGCACCGTGGCCCTGGATGTCCCCAGGGGACATGGCTGATGCCAGCCTGTCCTGCAGGCGGAACCACCAGCGCGCCATGGACTCCATGCAGGCCTCGCTGGACGCAGAGGCCCGCGCCAAGAACGAGGCCGTGCGGCTGAGGAAGAAGATGGAGGGGGACCTGAACGAGATGGAGATTCAGCTGAACCACGCCAACCGCCAGGCTGCCGAGTTCCAGAGGCTGGGCCGCCAGCTCCAGGCCCAGATCAAGGTTGGGACAGACTCGGTGCTGTCCCTGCTGCCAGCCCGGCTCCTGCTGTCCCCACTGACCCCGCGCTGCCCCACAGGACCTGCAGATCGAGCTGGATGACACCCAGCGCCACAACGACGACCTGAAGGAGCAGGCGGGTGCCCTGGAGCGCCGCAACAACCTGCTGCTGGCAGAGGTGGAGGAGCTGCGGGCAGCGCTGGAGCAGGCCGAGAGGAGCAGGAAGCTGGCGGAGCAGGAGCTGCTGGAGGCCACCGAGAGGGTCACCCTGCTCCACTCCCAGGTGAGGCACTGCCAAGTCCCCTGTGTGCGCTGGTGGGAGAGCCAGGACTCTGTCAGCCATGAGTGACAGACTGAATCTGCTCTCTGTGCAGAACATGGGTCTGATCAACCAGAAGAAGAAGCTGGAGGCTGATGTCTCCCAGCTGAGCAGCGAGGTGGAGGATGCGGTGCAGGAGTGTCGCAACGCCGAGGAGAAGGCAAAGAAGGCCATCACGGATGTAAGAGAGCGGTGGGGACTGCTGTGTGGGCCTCACATCTCCACTGAGCCCCTGGTCTGGCAGGGCAGCCTGGCCTTGAGCTGATGTCCCCCTGCTCTTGGCTGGCAGGCTGCCATGATGGCAGAGGAGCTGAAGAAGGAGCAGGACACGAGCGCGCACCTGGAGCGGATGAAGAAGAACATGGAGCAGACCATCAAGGACCTGCAGATGCGCCTGGACGAGGCAGAGCAGATTGCTCTCAAGGGGGGCAAGAAGCAGATCCAGAAGCTGGAGGCCAGGGTGAGACAGTAGGGGCAGGAGCCACCTCCTGGGGCTGCCCCAGTCCCTGTGGCACCAGACTCTGCCCTATCCCTCTGAGGACAGGTGGTGCCTCTGGGGGACCAGGGGACAGTCCCCAAGGCCCTGACAGGCTGCGCCCAGCTCAGAATGGCTTTAGCCTCTACTGTGGCCTCTCTGAGCTGGGAAAGTGGCTTGGCTTTAGCTGGGCTGGTGCTGGTGCTTGGGAGCCAAGTGCTGAGCCAGTCTGTGCCCCCCGCAGGTGCGGGAGCTGGAGGGAGAGCTGGATGGGGAGCAGAAGAAGATGGCAGAGGCCCAGAAGGGCATTCGCAAGTACGAGCGCAGGATCAAGGAGCTGAGCTACCAGGTACAGCAGCACAGGACACAGGTCCAGCCCTGATCCACCAGCACCTGCACAATCCTCTTTGCTCAGCCTCATGTTACCCAAGAACCCATCCACAAACCCAGCCCAGCCTGGGCTGCTTCTGGGCTCCATGTGGGGAATGACAACAACTGCACAAGCTTCTCCCTGTCACAACATCCTGTCCCTGCTCTGGCTCCTTCTGCCCATTTCCCAGCACCTCCTGAGCTGTGTGATGGGATACAAGGAGGGGCCAAGGGATGGGGGCTGTGGCACCGGTCTGTGTTGGTGGGGCAGGTTGGTGCTGTGTTTGTGACCTGGCACCACTGGGACTCTGATAAAGGTGAGGTGAGGGGGTGCTGGGGTCTGGCTAAGGGAGCTGGGGCTCTTGCAGGCTGAGGAAGACCGGAAGAACCTGGCTCGGATGCAGGACCTGATTGACAAGCTGCAGAGCAAGGTCAAGAGCTACAAGCGCCAGTTTGAGGAGGCAGTAAGTGCCCATCACTGCTCTGGGACAGGGGACAGGGCTGTCCCCACCTGGGATGGCCTGCCATGGCTGCCAGGGGCCACGACAGCAATGTGGGGAGCTTGGAGCTGTCCCCTGTGCCCCATGCACCCCTCTCTCTCCCCCCAGGAGCAGCAGGCCAACTCCAACCTGGTGAAGTACCGCAAGGTGCAGCACGAGCTGGACGACGCCGAGGAACGCGCCGACATCGCCGAGACCCAGGTCAACAAACTGCGCGCCCGCACCAGGGACGCCGTCGTCTCCAAGGTGGGCACTCCTGGGTGGGAGCGTGGCGAGGTGGGCACGGCTCCTGCCAGCCCTGCAGCCAGGGGCGTGACCCCAGGCACAGCCACACCCGGCTGTGGCACTGCTGCCTCTGATGGCTGAAGGGTGGCAGAGTTCTCCGTGCCTCTGGGTCCCTCCTCTCATCAAAGCCCTTTGGGGATTTTTTCCAGCATTAGGAGCCCGGCTGCCCGGCCCTGCCCTGTCCCAGCTGCTGCTGTAGGTTGGAGGCAAGTGGCTGCAACAGTCACTGTCAGCTTTGCACTGCATGAATAAACGTAGATCTGCAGGACTGGCTGTTGTGTGTGACAGCGTAACCAGGGCCTTGGCCTCTGCCCCCGGGGTCTGGGGGAGCATCTTCACAGGGAGACACAGGCAGGAGAGAAGCTCAGTCCCCTCTCTCCCAGCTCTGTGGCCCTGGCTGGGGATGGGTTTTGGGATAAGAGTCCTTTCCCCATACCTCTCCACCAGAACACAGCTCTAACTGCAGGGGACCAGAGCTGAGGCATGAGGCACCACAGACCTCAGCCACTACTGCTGAGAACATGAAGCCCCTCATACAGCCCTGGAGGGGGTTTGGCTTTGGCAATGCACTGGAAAGAAAGACACCTCCACTCATTTGTTTAAAATAGATTTCTTTAATAGTTTCCATTTAATATGTTTATTTGCAGTTAGCAAATCGGCATTAATCAGGGCAGCACGAACCTCAGCCAGCCACGGGGACAGTGCACACTTCCAGAGGTATTTGTTAGTGCCAGGGGTCCCACCTCCCTCCCATCCCAGCCCAGAGCCCGCTGGCACCTCCAAGGGTCTGGTCCCTCTCACCATGAGATCTTTGTGGCATCTGGCATGGACAGACATCCCAAAGGAACGTTGGGCTTTGCCTGTCCCCCTCTGTGCCCTGGAGCAGAGCCTTCTCCCTGGAGCCCAGCACGCTCCACCCCTGGGAGCGTGGGGGCTTTCTTCCCTGTGCCCTTCTCTGCCCAATCAGCCCAAAAGCAAAGCCAAGCCTGTGCCCCCAGGCCTGGGAAGACCCCCAGAGATGTGGGGGCTCAGCTCAGCTTCCCCCAGGCCCATGGGCAAGGCCAGAGGCAGCTGGGCTCCAAAATGTCTTTAAAACACAGAGGGGAGTGAGACTGCAGGGTTACAGCAGCAATCAGTGGATGCACCAATTAACTACACTGTGGAAAAGGCATCCCTTAACTTAAAAGCCTTTTAATTTGAAGCATTTATTTTAAGTGTACATCTATTACAGTTAAGAAGAAGCAAAGATACACCAAAAACACAAATACCCAAGAACAAAAAAAGTACAGATGAGAAAGAAATGAGCTGAGGGGAGGGAGGAGCGGGGGGGGGGTGACCTGGTGAGGAACAGAGGTGAGTTGCCATGGCAAGAAGCTCCCCAGGGTACCCTCACCAGAGCAGGATGCAGCTCCCAGGGAGGGACACCAGGATCCCCAGGAGCTCCTGCAAGGCTCCAGCTTTATGCACAAGCTCAGCAGCTCTGACCACCCTGTGAGCCCACAGCAGGACACTGAGGTGTGGGAGAAAAGAGATGGAAGATGCTCAGAGACAAGTCCTACTCCTGGGGCTGGAGCCTCCTTCACTCCTCCAGCCCCAGCACAGGGAGCCGCAGGGGGGGTTTCATGCTGCTGGCAACAATGAGACCAAAGGCTGCAGCTCTGGGACATCCTCACCCCTCTGGAGCCTGGACAGGGCTGAAGTTATCTCGTCAAATAAATTAGAAAATGTTAAAAAAATTCAGATGTGTGTTTCAAAACAGGTTTCTTTTTTCTGTAGCTGCAAGACGTGTTTTTGACTTAAATGTAGTGGCTTAAGTGTAGTGTATCTCGTTCCTGGGTATCGGAATGTGCTGGAGCAACATGGCGTTGGTGAGCAGGCAGGGCACATGCAGGTTTGGCAATCAAGACTGCCAAAACCCCATTCCCCTTTCCAACATACCGTACAAAGTTACTTTCAACCAGGAGTGTTTATTCCCAGCATTTAACACATTCTGATTAAAACAGATCCAGGAAAAAACGGACATCTCCAGTAAATATTGCACTTTCAAGATTAATGTGTGTGTTGATATTAAGGGCTGAAAGCAGAGACTGACATAAGACTTCCAGGCATAGCAGGTTAACATCAAGAACAATGGTCCTGAAAAGGATTTTAAAACCAGATTAGTTACCCAAGAAGGGACAAGCCGCAAGTTTAAAAAATTAGTACATTTTAATGCTAGTGCTCCGTGAAAAAGCCAACCCCTGTTGCAATTCCACCACTGCTGCAATGTCTCTGTTCTCCAGCACTGCGAAACGCCTCCGGGTGGGAAGGAGCTGCAGGAAGGACAGCAGGAGCAGAGGTTCTCTCCTAATGCACAGATAAGATTTAGTACCAAATGATCCAAAAGGCGATGGTAAAGAGGTGACTGGAGCTGGGGCTCTCAGGAATTAAAAGCACACACACGCACACACACTCATGCTCTAACCAACCCCAAAGCCCTGATTCCAAAGCCCAGCGGAAGAGTTAACACCTGCAGGGAGTCCTCGTGGTGGCTTTGCACGTGGCTGGTGGCGGGGTCCTGCTCAGATGGGCTCCTTGGACCTCACACTTGGAGGGCAATTGCTGTGCTTTTTGACTTGCTCGTCCTGGCAGCCCTGAGAGAGCCACACCTCAACCGGCACATACAGAGAAGAGAACCCTCACGTCAGCAAAACCCCTTCTGCCAGCCCTGCTGGACTGGCAGAGAGGAAAAAAAATAATACAGGCTGGTTTGTGCAGGTGATTATTTTTATCCCAGAACAACTGGAAGATACATCCCTGAATGTGTTGCCCAGAGAGCTGTCCGAGTCTCAGAGTCAGAGCTGGGGGCCGGCAGGGGCGGGGGTGGGACGACGCTCCGCAGCTCCGAGCTGCACACACACACTACACAGCGTATCCCTGAACATCCCCGGGCTGCGAGGGACCCTCCGAGCTGTCCATCAGAAGCTGGAGGCGGGAATTACTCCTCGGAGAAGTCTCTGTCAATGTCCATGTACGCCTCGTCGATGTAGCTGACTATGGCACAGGGGGACGTCCGGTCCGGACTGAGCAGTATCGAAACAGTCTCTTTCCAGTAGGTAAAACTAATACAGGAGCTCTGTGGGCACAGACAACAGGGGGTCAGTGGAGGCCACAGCAGGGAACACCTCCCAAAGCTGAAAATCACTTCCTGTTCAGCCCGAGCTGCCCAGCCCCACAGTGTGAGCAACACTTTGGGTTCCCCACTCTGCCCTCCCTCCCTGGGTGTTGAACAGCTACACCCTCTATAACCAGCTGCTCACTCTCCAGATGCACACAAGGACTCCCAGTGCCTCTGGCAGCTGCTAAGAGCAGCACAGGGTGACCCCAGCCTGCCTGGACCAGTACACCCATAATCCAAACATGTCCTCTGCTGCCCTGTCCCAACACAAACTGAGAGCCTGTGGTGCTGCAGATACACCAATGCTGGAAGCAGCTCCTGCTCCCGAGATGACACCAAAACCAACACACTCCCTTGCTCACACCCCTCCTGCATTATTCCCTCAAGGCCAAAAGGCCACCTCAGCAGCCCAACACCAGACCATGTGTCCCCCACATAACTGGATAGCTGGTTATTTCTACCCACCAGTGACCCAGGACACGCCAGCTCTGGCACAGAAACCCTTGGCTTCCAGCAGCTACATCAGTTATTCTTCCTGTACTGTTTGCAGAGAACAGTCTGGCTAAGGTGCTAAGTACTCTGGGAACTGCATTCTGTCCTGCCTCCCCCTCCCTGGCCATCCTGCCAGCGCTGCCCCTCCACCCCACTCAGCACTAGCATGTCTCACTTCTGTGTGCCAGAGCCAGGACCTCAGGCTCTGTTTCCAGGGAAGCCCAGCACCTGCTTGTGGCAGCCTGAGGTGTGGAAAGCACCACAGAGCAACACTGGGGCCAGAATTTCCTCCCTTCTTTCCCTTCCCAACCTCCCATTTTTGCCAGGGGTCTGCAGACGGGTGTTGCTGTGATTAACCATTGCCATGGCAAGAGGGTCACATACATTTTCTAAGCAGGTGCTGTCTTTATCCTTGTTGAGGTAATGCTGCTGCCAGAATCGCAGGAGACTGTGGAAGTTGTTCAGGATGAAGCCAGGGTATTTTTCCGTGTATTCCATCTGTTGCAAGGTGCGCAGATAAAAAGGGAGCTTTTCTTTCCTTCGGGCCAGCATTAGGATAACTAAACTTGTGTTCAAACAACTGACATTTTCCTGGAAGGAAAAATGACACAGCAAAAAAATCTAAATACCGAGATACCTGTTGTATTCATGCCCCTATAAAACAAGCGTGTGGAAAGCACAAAGTGGAAGTGTTCCTGCACACAGCAAGGAAAAAGGGACATGGGTGTTCTCCAGGGAAAGCAGGCTCCTCCCTGCTCCCAGGCCTGCTCACCACTCCAGCCCCAGTAAGGCAAGTGCAAGGTGCCTGGCAGCTCTTTACCTGTGTAAGTGTCTGTACATGGATAATATTGATGAGACGGAAGAGGAAGGACATTCTCATGGACATCTGGGACATGTAGGACAAGAGGCGGCACTCGGACAGCACCTCTGCAACTGCAGCAACAGGAGAAACACAATCACCAGGGGCTGGAGGCTCAGACACACTCATCCAAGCACTGGGGCACTAAGAACTGGTGCTCAAACTTTCAGGGTGGCATTTCCTTGTCTAACCCCCAAACTATGAAAGCCCAGATTTAAACTGACCATTACCAGCACTGAACACCCCCCAGTCCCACCCCATGGCTTCCTGTTCACCTTTAGCATCAGACTGATTCTCAAACCGGTCCAGGGACAGCGTGATGCAGCGAACCAGCATGTTGGAGTCCACCAGAGAGCTGTTGATCTGATTTAAAAATATCTGGAACTGAACAGAAACACTTTTTAGGGTTGAATTTAAAAGACTGAAATATATTTATATTCAAAGTCATTACCTTTTTGTTATCTCTAACAAGGTAAGAGGAGACATCACTCCTAGCCTCACCCTGCCCAAACCAACACTGGCACTGAGGGCTGACCAAAGGATCACTTAAAAACACTATGGAATGGAAAATGCCATCCTGGCATCCCTAAAATCTCTTTTGAACCTATGTCAGTCCATTGAAAGTGAGATTTCATACAGTATTTGTTTTGAAAGAGGGAATTCCTGCAGCTCCATGTTTTCCTACGCTGATTTTGTACAAACAGCACTAGGGAGGAATACAGTGAGGGAGTCACACAGAATGAGAACTAAACCCAGTCAGAGATCAATAAACAGGAAGCACAGGGCAAATATCAAGACATTCTCTAGAATGTTTAAGTTCATTTACTAGAGAAAAACACCAAAAATAAATACAGCTTTCTTTTAAATACATTTATACATCCCTTCTCCAAGGTCTACCAGACCTAACAGCAATGAGAGAAAAATGACAGTAACAAAAGCAAGAGTGTAAGGCCATTCAGAACCTACTCATCAGCTGATGTTAAATGTCCCAAGTGCACAAGAGCATGAAACCACTTTGCATAGAGCTGTCCACTGATGTGCAGCTCAATTTTATAGTCAATTACACAAGCCATGGCTTCTTAAAACATCTCAAAGCTCAAATAGAATCAAATATCTACTGTCTGTTTGCAGTATCAAGTATTTTAAGCCTTATTCATGAAGGAATTCCCACTGCAAGCTCCAGCAGAACATTTTTTGGAGCTGTCTCAATGTCCACAACTATTACTTAACCACAAATCTGGCGACTGCACAGGAAATGTTCTGCTACCCTTGAGCCTGACCTTAGGCCTGCCTGATCATGAACAGGGCAATGTTTGCTGACCAGCTCAGCCCTCACTGTCTCAGGACAGCTGGAGCACTGCTGAAAACACTGAGGAACTCTGGCAACTCACCCCTTAATGTTTATTGTGCTCCAAACTCTGAAACCACACCAAACCCAAATGAATCTGAGTTTTAGTGCTGTGTTTGGTTATAAAAGGGTGTAATTTGAGCCACAGGGGGACAGCTTTTACAAATATTTACCTTCTCATCTGTGTTGATGTATTTGTTGAACCTCTTGAATGCATCAATATTGAATTTCATCAGCTCTCCCAGAAGGTCAAAGTAACTCTGAAGCACATCCCGTGACTTGCACTCACTATCAACAATGCAGTAGAGAATATGCTGGCAGGGGAGGAAAACATGTTATTGCCACAGCTCAGTCCAAGCCAGCAGCACAACACACTCTGATTTAATCAGTATTTGAAGCACTGATCTTCAAGTTCTTGGGTGACTGAATGCCACAACACCAACTAAAGGCTACAGTTCAGATGAGTCTCCTGTTAAAATGAGTTCCCAGTGATGCAGGTTATGCAAGTGGCCACATCTGGCTGCCACAAGCAGAATTCACAGGTATTTTTGTAAGTGTTCCCAGTATTTGTCATAGCTACACAGGAATAAGGGGCAGTTTTTAATTTATTATTGTTGTTGCATCTATTGTGATTTCTCCAGTAAACTGTGATCCTGACTTATCTCCCTGAGTGTTTATTCCCCCACTACTGCATTACACAGGAATAAGGGGCAGTTTTTCATTTATTATTGTTGCATCTATTGTGATTTCTCCAGTAAACTGTGATCCTGACTTATCTCCCTGAGTGTTTATTCCCCCACTACTGCAAGGGTGCAGCTTGAGTGGCCTTCCTTTCCCTGCTGAGTTTTTAACAGTACATTTTTATCCACTTTTGGTTCACTGCAGATAAATCCTCCTCGATTGCTATGGAGGATGCCTGACATAAACTGACTTACCTCCAGGAGTCCTCTCTTGAGGAGGAACATCTGGTCTGCATAGGAGGTGGTGCCACGCAGAAAACTTTCAACCGCCCTTGCTTGCCAAAACCTGAGAAAGAGAAGAAGGGAGGTGTTGGTTTTGGGGCAAGGGAAGCACTTGATCACAACTGCAATTTAAATCCAGTTTCCTGATCTGTTTCAATCCACTCTGAAGCTGGAGTCAGACCTGTTGAGCCTGCAGAAAGTCACTGGCTGTGATTTCTTGCACCTGCACTGCCACCACAGCACAACAAAGCCAGACCTTCCCACAGCTGATTCTCCAACATTCCATCAGCTCTAAGCTGGACAAAACCAAAGCTACACCCCAGGGGTCCCAAACAGCTCATCAGAGGCACAGTAAACCCACCTGAAGGAGGATTCTGCTGGCTCCTTCTTCATGACCTGAAGCAGCCTGGTCAGCAAACCTCTCTTCC